ATAAATATACAATTCGGTTGCCCTCACCTGTGTTCTTCTTCACGATACATGTGATTTGTAAATAAAATTAATCTATATATTACGGTGTTCAACATTGAAAAAAATATTCACTGTCTCGATGATCAGAACATGTAAACACATTACAGAATATTGTTGTTAATCCGATTTTATGTTACAGTAATTTTTATCTTATGATGATAGTGATAATTTAAGAGCAATACGTAAGTGAACTGACTGGCCGTAATATTTCTATGTATAGATGATGTAAAGTTGTGAAGTTAGTTTAATGCAATTATTCCTACTTAGTAACAGACGACTTTTACTCCCAATGGAGCATTGGCCATACACTCCCATACATTCCAACCAACTCCATCCTAGGCCCTCCTTTCAAGTTCTACCTAATTGCTGTTCATTCTTCTCCGGTGCGTCTACATTTCTCAACGTCATGTGTTCATTTGCCTGTTAGGATTCCAGTTTAGGGCTTATCTTATGATGCTGTTCGGTGCTTCTCTCAATGTGTGTCCTATCCACTCGCAACGCTTCTTCTTCAATTCTTCCTCCGCTTTAATCTGCGCTTTTTTCTGCGCCTCAGTAAGTTGTTATGAATGATGGCTTTCATGGTTCTCCAAGTCACCGCTGCATATAGGAGAACTGTCTTGACATATGTTTTGAAAATTCTGATTTTACTGTTGACGAATGGTTATTTTGAGTTTCAGATATTTTTCAGCTGTAGAAATGCTGCAATTGCTTTGCTGATTTGCACTTTCACATCTGCATCAAATCTAGTTTGTCCGTCAGTGTTGTTGCCCCAGATATGTACAGGTTGTTGTTACATCCTTCAAGGTATCTTTATCAAGTATGATTTGGTTGATGCATATTGTGTTGTATTGGAGAATCTTGTTTCGTCCTTTATGTATATTGAGACTTGCTGCTTCCATTACACCGGTTGTTGTATTCTCTGTATACAGACGTCATACATACTCATCATCATCATCTTCTTTTTCTTCTTCATCATCAGTCTTATATTTCATCATCATACTACTGATTCAAAATACTCATTTAAACTTTATTTACACAATCCTCTAATTCAAGTTGTGCGAATTCATTGTGTCACATACAATAATTTCTTATTTATCATCATCCGGATTAAATGTTTAAAATGTAATAATCAGAAGATAGTTATTTTGTATTCAACTAAAATACCACATTGACTACATCTCTTCCCACACACACACACACACACAAATAAAAACAAAACAAACCATAACCTTTAGTTATTTTTTTCATTATTTTTTTTACTGTAGACTAGATAATAATAATAAACACATCATTTATTCGTTCATTCACTGATCCATGTGAATATTGTCTGTGTGTGTGTGTGTTTGTGTGTTTCTGTGTGTGTGTGTATTTGTGTGTTTCTGTGTGCTATGAAGAAGTTATGCAGTAAAGACCAACCACGCCATTCATTAACATTTTACACAATAAATCATACATTATTGTACTGATAGAAATTCTTTAAATTATCAATAAATAATTTATATTACAATCTCTACATCACTTATCCATTGATCAGGATTGTATTGATTGGTATAAAGATTTAACCTCATTGATTATGACTATGATTATTATTGATATTCATAAATAAAAAATAAATGGAAAAAACTTTTTGTTTACTCTCACTGTCTAAACACAAAAGAACACGAAAAAAATAATCTCATTCAAGGTTGTCATGGAGTTGTTTCGTCAACCAATCACATCATCCAATGGTGGTTGTGGAAAGTTACGAGTTACAAACACACAGAGGTTGATGATGCTGATGATCATGTTGAAGTAGTACATTTGAACAATTCCTCTTTCTGGTAATTTACGGCCTACAATACACTTAACAAATTCCGCCAGTAGAACCTTCGGGGCTACTGCTGGTCCCAAGCCTGGATAAAGGAAGAGGGTTGGGCATACCATTTGCGACCCCATCGCAACTAAAAACTAACTTGCCAAAAAAACGCTAACCAAAACAAATAATTCAAACCATTTTCACTATGCTCTGGGAGTTGGAAGAAGAATTATGACTTCGCGTGTTGAAAGCTGACTTCCCGCGGAAGTCACGGGGCTGATGCCTCTTCTGACAACCAGAGCAACTATTCTTTTAGGTACAAGAAACGTTCGAACATTGTGGGAGACTGGAAGACTATTTCAAGTTGCGGCAGAAACGAAAAGATTCAACTTGAAGGTGCTCGGCATCAGTGAAACGCATTGGACACAGGTAGGACAACTGAGACTAGCTTCAGGGAAACTGCTGTTATACTCTGGACAAGAAGAGGAAAATGCTTCACATACACAAGGAGTTGCACTGATGCTGTGCAAACAAGCATAAAAGGCACTGATAGGATGGGAATCTCATGGACCCAGGATCATTAAAGCATCCTTCAAAACAAAGAAAGAGGACATTACAATGAACGTCATCCTATGTTATACACCTACCAATGACTACAATGACGACATTAAAGATCAATTCTAGGAAAGACTGCAGTCAATCGTCGAGAAATGTTCACCAAAGCTGAATACACAGAAGCAAACAGACAAGTGAAGAAGAGCATCAGAGCTGACAAACGAAAATATGTGGAAGATCTAGCAATGACGGTGGAAAAGGCTGCAAGAGACGGAAACATGAGACAATTGTACGAAACAACAAAGAATCTTGCTGGAAACCATCGTAAACCAGAACGACCAGCGTAAAGCAAGGAAGGCAAAGTAATCAGTAACACTGAAGAACAGCGAAATAGGTGGGTAGAGCACTTTAAGGAACTCCTGAATCGACCAGCTACACTGAACCCACCCAACATCGAAGCAGCATTCACGAATCTCCCAATTAATATTGGCGCACCTACGATTGAGGAGATCAGTATGGCCATCAGACAAATCAAGAGCGGCAAAGCAGCAGGACCAGACAACATTCCAGCAGAGGCAATGAAAGCAGATGTAGAAGCAACTGCGAAAATATTTCACATTCTCTTCAAGAAGATTTGGGATGAGGAACAAGTACCATCAGATTGGAAAGAAGGATACCTGATCAAAATACCAAAGAAAGGCGATCTCAGCAAGTGTGAGAACTACAGAGGCATCACTCTTCTTTCAATACCAGGCAAAGTCTTCAACAGGGTATTGTTAAACAGAATGAAGGACTTCGTAGACGCCCAACTTCGAGATCAACAGATTGGATTTCGTAAGGATCGATCGTGTACTGACCAAATTGCTACATTACGGATCATTGTGGAACAATCAATTGAATGGAACTCACCACTCTACATCAACTTCATTGACTACGAGAAAGCATTCGATAGCTTGGACAGGAAAACACTGTGGAGGCTTCTTCGACACTACGGTGTGCCTGAGAAAATAGTCAACATCATACGGAATTCTTATGATGGATTCAACTGCAAAATCGTGCACGAAGGACAGCTAACAGAATTTTTCGAGGTGAAGACCGGTGTCAGGCAAGGATGCTTACTCTCACCCTTTCTCTTTCTCCTGGTCATCGACTGGATTATGAAGACGTCAACACCTCGAGGGAAGCACGGTATTCAGTGGAAAACCAGGATGCAATGGACGATCTGGACTTCGCAGATGATATTGCTCCTCCATCACACATGCAACAAAAAATGCAACAGAAGACGACCAGTGTAGTGGCAGCTTCAGAAGCAGCAGGTCTCAACATAAATAAAGGGAAAGGCGATACAACACAACGTGCGCCGACCAAATCACTCTTGATGTAGAGCACGTTACCACCTTTACATATCTGGGTAGCATCATCGACGAGAAAGGTGGATCCGATGCAGATATGAGGGCGCGGATTGGCAAAGCAAAGGCTGCATTTCTACAATTGAAAAATATCTGGAACTCCATACAAATATCAATCAACACCAGAATCAGGATTTTCAATACAAATGTCAAGACAGTTCTACTGTATGGAGCACAAAATTGGAGAACTAACTACCAAAGCCATCATCCAGAAGATACAAGTGTTTATGAACAGTTGTCTACACAAAATACTTCGGAGTCGTTGGCCAGATACCATCAGTAACAATGTACTGTGGGAGAGAACAAACCAGATTCCATTGGAGGAGGAAACCAGGAAGAAGCGGTGGAAGTGGATAGGACACACTACGAAAAGCACCTAACTGCGTCACGAGACAAGCCCTCACATGTAATCCTCTAGGTCAAACGAATAGAGGAAGGCCAAGGAACATATTACGCCGAGAAATAGAGAAAGATATGAGAGGAATGAACAAACATTGGACAGAACTGGAGAGGGAAGCCCAGGACAGAGTTGGTTGGAGAAAACTGGTGGACGGCCTATGCTCCATTGGGGGTAACAGATGTAAGTAATTAAGTAAGTAAGTAAGCTTAATTTGTGTAATTTTGGTAATAAAATTCATGTGCACCTCTGGATTAAAATTCATAGAAATTATGATAAATTAGCGATTTGATTATTAACTTTTTATTACATGAACTATTTGTTTAAATTAATTAATTTTTTTTATAAATTAATTGAAGATTTGTTAAGTGTAAACTAGTTGCGGCTTGAGAAAACGATCACCTTGAAATCTTTTTCATATGAGATGGGTAATTTTTTTTTGTAAGAGGCGTGGAGGCTAATTGTTGTAAGGTGTTCTCTACTAGTTCACAAATCTTGTTAAAATTATCCTTAGTCACAACACTAAACAGTGCGTCTTCGTCCTCTGCACCCGTTTCCGCCTGTAGAGCTCGACTAACACAACTTTTGACGTCAGACCTAAGTGCTTCCAAAGCTGCAGGAACTAGACGAAATCTAACGGGTATGTCAGCAGGAAAAATACCTGCTTCCAGAGCTTCTACATGTCCACCAACATAAGTCTGAGAATCGGTGAGATGTCCATCCTCCGTAAATTTTCCTGAAATCCCAGCGTCACTCAGTAACAAATTGTTAAGTCCCGATTCACTCTCTGTCTTTTTGTGTATTCCTAAACCATCAAAAGAGCCTCGCATAGGGTACCAGAGCCTTTACGAAAGACATCATCGGGATTTAATGGAAGGATTGTACACAGTGCGAATACAAACGGATGAACATACTTCATATACAAATAATAGGTGGTAACTGCATCAGACACTGAGTAATTTGCCAACTTTCTCGGTGATTCACGAGCCATACGGCACATTAATTCTGGGTCTACTTCAATCGGGTCGTACCGCAGTTTAGCTTTAGCGACAGCTTTAAGACCACGAGCTCCGACCGGAAGGTAACTGCCACGCTTAACCAAATATAAGCAATCAATGTGAATCGCTGTTCGTGACAGGTATTCGCCAGAACTTCCATCTCTTCCGGGGCCTGCAGTACTCTTTTGACGAGAAAATGCAATTTCTTCAGACATAGATAGTCTGTAGCTAGCGGCCCGAGCTTCAATAAATAGCCAGTCGAAATAATCACCATTATATGTAACTAATATATTTGGTCGAACTCTCTGAATATGTTCGAAGAAAAAGGTAATGCAATCTAATTCTGTTTGTAAATTATGCACGGTGAAGTGACCTGGAAACTCTGGTCTTGGCGTGTAGTCAAAATCCTCTATATCTTCCGTAAGTGTTTCTCTATTGCATATAAGATGTCCAGCTCCATCTAACATGTATGATATCATAATTATCTGATCATTTGCAGGGTCAGGGAACTTCAAAGGCATCTTTGTAGTTTCTATATTGAATGCCAAGACTGCGGGTTCAGGCCATGCCAATGTATCACTATGACGCTTAATTTCAGGAGGACGTCCACGCATACAGGTCGTGGTATACCAAGATCCAGCAAATATATTCAAGTCGATGCATACACGAGTTAAGTAAGGAACATCTGACTCTCTTAGATAAAACAAATTATCGAGAGGATCAACACGATTTTGCCTAACGCCCAACTGGTTGGTTTCGATTCCGTAATCATAATTTCTAAAGTGTTCAGCCAAGATATCAGTATAGGAGGATCCCGAAAAGGCCAGTTCATGATTTGCCCGGATCCGAACAGCTAGTTTCCTACGCACCCGGACTAGCTCATCTACACTATAGAACAACATCTTAAGGTAAGTGGCTTTGATTCCAACAAGGTGATTAGGCAGGTCCAAGTCGTTCTTAGAAACAACCTCAATTCCAGCAAGACGAGCAGAGAACCGTTTTAGTAAGTACGAGTTTGCATCACTCTCTGCAACTTGACCACCACGAACCAGCACATAGAAGTATGGGAGGTAAGGTTTCGTAACTTTGAAACGGTTTCCATCCGTTTGAAGAAAATAAAGGTCAATACCATTGACCAATCTTTTCGACTCATCTAATAAGTCAGTGGGGTGCATGTTTACCAGCCAGCAGATGCATTTGCCAGGACCAACAAATGCCTCGAAGCCATAATGTCGATCAGTTAGATCGTTAGCTTTCGTTCTCAACAGGTTTATTTTTTTTCCCTAATTTAATCAACTCAATTCATTTTGATTGGTGTGCATATAAACGAGACATGATATGATTTGAATTATTTTCAATCTTAACTGATTACATCATATCATGTAAGTTTGATTTGGCTTTTTTTTTTCTCGTCTTCGTCTTGATGACTAAAACTTTATTCATGCATGACTTATCTAAAATTTCTTCATCTCATTTGTATTGATGATCGTGACAATCAGGACAGAATAGTAGCACTAGGAGTAGTAGTAGTGGGAATTTTTGTGGTTGTTGTTGTTATCGTTGTTATATGAGTTGTATGAATTTTATTTTTTAGACAAAAAAATAATAAAATATCTTAAAAAATCATGTCAAACAAATAGGTGAATTTATTTTATCTCTTGTCTAACATTTTTGTACAACTGATAACATTGTCTATGAGGAGGATAACAATATACACATTGAATCGATAACATATGATGAGAACATGTCAACATAGTACTGATTGACAATGAACAACACCAAATTGTTAATTAAACAAAAATCAATTCAGATAACATTTACAAATGATCAATTCATTCTATGAGATAATGTGATTACTTTTTTTCTTTTAGGCTTCTTTTTTTCTCTGTGTGTGTGTGTGTCTCTATGTGTCTCTTTAATATTACTGTAGTGAACGAGATCACAGGTGGAGCAACCGGATTGTATTTAACGAAAATTACAGAGTTACTCAGTAAAATCGCAAAAACCATATCGTAAATTGTTCATTTGCAAAATATCAGTTCATCATCCTATTGAACTGGACTGTTCCTGTTGCAAAATATCAATCCATTATCACTACTCATGCGTTTCATACAAATTCCATTGTGTTCTTCTGGCTCTTCCTTTCTTGATCTTCCCCCATCTTCTGCTGCCAAACATTACGTTGACACTCACGTCATATACTACTTATAAGTAGCACGCACCAGATTACAATAAAATGATTCCAATGAACAACGGATGAATATTATTATTGGAGATAATAATAAGAAGAAGAAGATAATTTCATTGATGAAATTATCAACATAGTCATTGTAAGATAATTATTATCAGACAACTGGAAAAACATTGGAACATTGGCACTTCTCCTTTTTCGGTAATGGCCATGATCAATGACAATGACACATTCGTTGACTCAGATTACATTTAAAAAAAAAACACCAAAAAACAAATGCTTAACCCTTTGGAAAAATTATTCATAATTTTATTTACTTGACTAAATGTGTTGTTATGAAAATTTTCATGTTAAGTCAATTGGAAAAAAAGTGTGAGTATCCTCGCTAGGTTCGACAATGAGTAAGTAGTAAATCGACTCAAGTAAGTCATACATTCATATTATATTACATTTATATCGATTTCATCTTCTGTTGTGTAGTTCAATTAAAAACACATTGAAATATTGTATTCACTTACCAAGAGGAAGGAATTATGCTCTCTCTCTCTCTTTCTCTGTAACCTGGTTGCTGAAAATACGTCGATATTTCATGTTTGTTTCTTTGCTCCTCTATTCTATGTCACTTCATCAGAATATCTCCCTCCAACTGTTCGAATGTTCTCCTCCCCCCACCCACTAGTCTACACTGTATTGTATAAACACACCATATGCATAAATGAACTGTTGATCTGACTTTGTCATTTAATCTTACAAAGATTGTCTGTATTCGCCAAATGAGACATCACAACTGTTTCATTGACAGGATACAGTTATTTTTAGTAGGAGGTATTTCTATGCATGAATATTTTTAAGCAAAACCATCCAACAGTTTTCTAGCATCTGTTTTTTGTTTTCTTCCGAAAATTGAATATTTCACTTTAGAATAGATTTGTAGTGATATTTATGTTTTTCCCACATTGATAATTTATGAAAACTCTACCACTATATTTATATTGTCAACACAATGATTTCACAGTAGAATTACTAACTAACACCTTAATCTTAATCATTGTTTACAATCAACCGACTAATGAGTATCACATAGACACATACTAGTTGATATTTCAAATAGGTATATGCATTGAAATGCAATTTATGTAGTAGACTGAATGAAATATGAAATCAAAAAAAATGCAACTTGAAAACTTTTTCCGATTAGACCGATTCGATGAACAATCGGAGGCACACACACACATACAGGTGTGAGAATGGCATTTTGAAATATCGAGAAAACAGAAACCAAAAAAAAAAGAAAGTTATAAATGAAGAAATTCCTCGTCTCAACACTAGTCCATAGTCTAAGATGGAGAAATGTGGAAAATAATAGTCGTGCAATTTAAACAATATTCATTATTGTCAATAATTTTTATTTTTGAAACCATGAATCGATCAATGTTCGACCACCATTAGAAACCTGGAAGCACTGGACGGCCGTTTCGTCCTGGTATGGGACTCATCAGCGGCAGTGCGCATCCACGACTCAAAAATGTGTAACTTAACAATCTTCACAACCCCGTAATGCAAATAATTTTTATGTAATTTTTTTTCGATAAAAATAGTTGAATTGGACGCAGTACAAATCTGAAAAAGCATAATACTCGTTGTTACAGTGTAGATTTTAATATAAATTATGAAATTTTCGGTTTATATAATAATCCACAGTTATTTCAAATTTGCAGATCTATCAATATATCTATTCAAGATCATTGCTAACTAACTATTCAACTATGAAAGCTGTCAGAAATGAGAATTATTCATTCACAGATAAAATGTCACAATTGTCGAAAATGATGACTGTAACAATTCTAGTACACAGAAGTATTTTTCCTGCTACTACTATTACTACTACTTCGATTGATTGCATAATTGTAAATCAGGTCGTTTGTGTCTTGTCATTGTGTTTGTGACCATGCCATTTGACTGATTAAACAAGACACATAACTAACAGATCAATGAATAGACTACGAATTGCACAACTTGATGACAATTATTCTGTTTGAATTTTATCCAACATATTCAATTTGATGATAAATCATTGTTGCTAAGCAATGATTTATCCTTATCACTGGTATCACTCACAATCTAATTGAATATTTCAAAATGACTAGACAAGAAATCATTAAAACAATAAAACTTGATTATTTGATCTTATGTGAATTCTTATTCCACATTGAACACAACATAACACACATTGACAATTGAATAGTGATGATTTATGATTAGTGTTAAATTTATTCCTTTTTGTTTAAGTGTTTTTATTTTAACTTACAGTAACAATGAATGCATTAGATTGTTGATAATGAATGACATAATTATTATATCAAATGAATGAGTAGTACTCATGGTATGATTAAATTATGTGTGAAAATTAGGTCAATAACATTACTGATTATATCATTAGATAGAGATTATTTTATATGACTATTAAATTTCCAATTTGTTTTATCTGCTACAACTTATTGATCAGTGAAGTCTTCAAAATGATGATATGTTTGTGAAAATCGCTTAGAATTTGTTAATCATACAATGATGCCACCTAGTAAATGTTATTTCAAGAGGATGCACCATTCAATCAAATATAATAATTTGATTGAGTTTGAATGTTGAGTATTGAATGTTGAATAGTGAACAATGACTGACAACCTTGAACTAGTTTACTATTGAATTTTTGATAATACATCATTTTTAAACATCTAAAAAGATGGGAATATTAATTTTAGTGTTGTAAAATCTTTCGAATAAAATAAATAAACACAGTTAGTAGTTATTCATTGAATAGTCAAAATGAAATTCCTAGAAATTAATTTATTTGCTTGGTTTATTTAAACTTCAAAAAATAAAATAACCAATTACTTATAATCAATACATTTTTTGAAACCATGAATAGATCAATGTTAGACCACCATTAGAAACTTGGAAGCACTGGACGGCCGTTTCGTCCTAGTATGGGACTCCTCAGCAGTGCGCATCCACGACTCCTGCACCCCGCAGGATTCGAACCCAGGACCTTCGGTATTGTGCGCGAACGCCCACTTTTTACAATCCATGTTACGTTGGCAAACATCTGAATTGTATGTGTACTCAATTTACTGGGATGTGTCCAGTACACACACAAACTAATTTTCAATAAATACGGGAATTAGCTAAATTTACAAAATTAATCTTTCATGTTTTCAGTCAAGTTGTTTAATCCAGTTGATTCAAGGCAAGAAACATACAACAACAACAATAAACATATTCAAAATTTAAATTTCAATTAATTTATTTTTCTTCACAATTGAAAAATAGGAAATGCATATTGATTCACATAGCATATTCCTGTTTTATATAATAAAAATAACAATAATAAAAATAATCATAAAAATAATCGAATTATACAAAAAAATTCTTTGTATCCATCCGTATATTTTGATGAAAATAAAAAGAAAAGCAAATTCTTTCTGCATCGACAACAATAACATGTCATTGTTTTTTCTTTATGTGACATTTAAAACATACACATAATTAAGTTTGCCTTTTTTCATTTCAATGCATATTTTTAAAAAAATAGTTTGGATTTCATGCTGTAATTTGATTGGTTAGATTTGTTAGAAAAATCAATAATCATAATGTAAAATTAACCAATCAAATTGCAGCCTCAAAAAGCATCTCATTGAGTTTGATGCTGACATTTGAAAATTCATTAAAATATATATATGTATATATAATTAAATTAAAAAAAACAAAACAAATCTATACAAATCTATACATTTAATAAAATTAATTAGAAAATGAAACTAATTGAAATGGAATGAATAAATATGATATAATAGAGTTAATAAAATTAAAATATATTGATCTATTTGAAATGATTGATATTTACAAGTCAATTATTTCTAGTGAAATCATGTTTATCATACATACATACATACAGCATTACCATGAAGGTAATGCTGTAGTTGTCACGGGTCCATTCAACGTAGAATGTGGCGACATTTTAAAGGGACGTTTTTCACCACCACCGACACGTTTAAATGGTAATAATGGAATTGGAGGACATGGTGAGAATAAATACCGACGATGACCAATTTTTCTACCAACTGTACGATTTATAGATGACGGTAAACGTAACTCAGTGAATCGTCGAGTTTTGCCAAATTTTCGCTTCACCTTATCATCAATATGAATATCCTAAATAGTCAAAACAATGAGGAAATAAATTTTTTTTAAAAAAAACTCATCATGATTTAAAACAAATCAACAAACTTACTATTATTAAAATAAAACTATAGAGAATGTTTAAACAGTTAATTTTTGTGTAAAATTCTTAAATTTGATCATATTGATGGATGGATGGATAGATACAGATGAGTTGAATTACATTTCTTTCCTAGAGAATTTATCGTTTAGTTTGCAATGCAATAAATTTGATACTTGATCATTTAAAATGATCATTTTCACCAGTTTAATAATGTAATAACTACAGGCTGGATATGATCTTGATATGACCTTGACGAATGGCAAACAAATGTTAAAGTACTTTTATGAAAATACACTAATTTCTATATGACTAGTAATTATAGTAGAGCCTATACACATTAAAAACATGAAATCCGAATTTTGACCTTTTTATGTGAATTACATCATGTCTAGTATGCAGTGATTCATGTTTATCTGTTTCAGTTTTTTTTTCTTTCTTGTAATCTTTAAATTGTATCATTGAAAAGTGAGAAATTAATTGGACTATGTTTAAATCAATAAACCAATGCAGACAGATTTGTAAGTGTACAGTTTAAACAAACAAAAAACAAGAAAAAAACTGTACAAAATTGTAAGTTTATTTTTTTATGTACAAATTAATTTGTTCAATATGTTCAATAATCGTATCAAATTGAACTTACTTCAATGAGTTCATTTGAATGATGTGAATAGTTTGAAGGTGAAAAATTATTCATACTAGTTGATAATAAAATTTGATTATCTAATCGACAAATTTTTTTATTTAAATTAATATTTGTTGATTTCAATAATAATTGTTTAGACATATAATTTACTTTTTCTTTATTCATAATAAGATTTAAATGTTCAGTTTGATCAAGAGAACAAGAAGAGGAGGATGATGATGATAATTCATTAGTTGATTGACTCCATTTTATTATTGGTGTTTGTTGTGTATTATGGTGCTGTTGTTTAGTTTTCAATGTTCGTGGCATTTCTATTATATCATTCAAATGTATCGGTGATGAATTCAATACTTGACAATTAGCTATACTTGTTGGTGTCGGTGTAGCAAATCGTATAGTTGTACGTAATGGTGATGATGAATCATCATCTTTATCATCCTTATCATCAGCAACATCATTGTGATCATTATGTCGTTTTAGTTGACCTTGTTTTAAACAATCTAATTGATTAGGTGTTTGTGGGGATGAGAATGTTAAATGATTTGTTTTCAATTGTTCTAACGGTGGTTGTTCAATATTCATTGTATATGTTTTAAATATTCTCATATATGGACTATTATTACAAATATCATGAACTAATGAATAAGGCAATAGAAATATATCTAAACCAATATCAATTAATAAACGTGTAATTGAATTTAATTGAAAACATTTCTCTTGACATTCAATTGGGGGTTGTTTATAATTCTTTAGAAAACAAAATAAAAACGAAACAAATAGACACAATTATTATCTTTTCACAAAAAAAATACTTAAACAAAGATACATATGAATGAATGCCAATGTAGGTGAAGTAATAGAAATTCAGTAATTAAAAAAAATTACGTTTTCATTTAAACAACACTATCATGAGGATAATTGATTGTTTTTTTATGATTAAATCACTTATTATTATTATTATTATTATTATTATTATTATTGATATTTTGGTTGAATTTACAAGGACACGCATACAATATGCCTTGACTAATTGAATGTATGCAAATATTATACAAGTTTATGAGGAGAATAAACTTTTTTATGCATTGTGTAACACCACTCATCCAATTGCCTGCACACAGCTACATACACCTGCACACATATCTTGTCCTGCACATTGTGTCAATGTTGATCAACATTAAAACGAATTAATTAATGAAAAATTCACTACTCGTTAATGAAACTTTAAACAATCATGGTATTGTTCAAATGTTCAATGTTCAGTAGTAGTAGTAGTAGTAGTAGCAGTATTGTTCAATGATGAATATTTAATCAATCGATGAATATGAATGTATTCATTGAATTTGCTGAATGTGACATTGTGTGTTGGAATTTTTTGTTTCGGAATAGTAATAATAATAATCTATTTTTTTCCTGAATACATCCAAAGTTTTAAAACACATGTAGATGGTCCTAATAGATAACCATGGAGGAATTTATGTGTTTTATGTGTTACATAGGTTAACAACAAAATCAGTCACAATAATAATTAATAATAACAGAAAACAGCATGTAAGAAATTTATTTTTCTTTTGAAAACAAACAATGCAACAAGTTGCCTACTGAGTGTGTGTGTGTGTGTGCTATCATTGAAGACATTGAGGAGAAAAAAAATTCTACTGTACACACATTGTTCTATTCATTATTGTCATCGTCATAGTAACATAATCAGAAGAAAATGTTTGCTGTTGTTGTTGTTGTAGTTTTTAAATTTATTTATTGTCCAATAAAAATAATGTTTATTCGATTCAAAAATAATTTGTTCTTAACTATTTCAATATTCAATAAACAAAGAGAGAGACATGCAGTTTTAATCAATTCAATATAATATTGAACAGGAAATGTTGTATTCAGTTCAGAAGGGAAGAAAAAGAGAACACGTATGAATAGAAAATGTTACAAGGGTAATTCAAATTGAAATGAATTGTTATTTTAGTTTTTTGGTGTATTGTTTTATTCAGTTGTACACGAAACTAATTGTTATACTCTCCTGTCTAGGCATGCTTAAAACTATGACGAGTTCACCTTAGACGTATACTGAGAAGAAAAACAATGAACCAGCGTCCAGGTAAGCTCTACTGTGATCCCTTGACCGAGAAGTCTTGATATAGCGTAGAAAGGGTATTTTACAAACACCCAGCCAGCACACAAAAGCACTCAAATTGCGTTTATTTATACGCCATAGAGGCGTACCGTGGACACTAAAATGACCCAGTAACCAATTACAGCCAAGGATCTTCCTGGTGAGAAGCGTGATCTCAAGGTCAACTGATCGATCCATGAAACAAATCGAAAATAAAGCTAATTATCAAGTGATTGACTTGTGGGGATCTAATCTCCTCAACATTAATTAACATTTAAAAAGGAAAAAAAAAGCAAATTCAATAAACTTACTTTAATAGTTTTTATTGTATCATATAAAATACCTTGTGGTAATAGAACTGGTCCAAATATTGTACCTAAACATGTACTTGTCATACGATTAATATGACTGAAATTTTTTACACGTGTTAATAGAATAATTAAACGTTTCAATAGATTCGCATTTGTATTGGGTAATAATTGAATTAATAAACGTAATGCTTTAATTTGTTTACTTTCAATTAAATGTAATAAATAATCTTCATTAATAATTGATAAATTTGATTGCTGTGTCAATAACAGAGGATTTGATGATGATTTTTTTAATGTTGACATTGATGTGTGTTGTTCATTGATTGAGAATTGTTTAAATTTTCTTAAAGCTAAAATAGAAAAAAGATCAACAAGCTTAATGAATGTGTTAGTCATGTTTGTTTGGTTGTAAATAAGTTTTATTTTATTGCAATAGAAACACTATTTTGATCACATATCATCTCTCTCTCTCCATCTCAGTTAATTCTTAATTGCATCGTTGACAATTCGATAAGAAGACGTGACTAATGGAGTTCAACCCTAAATCAATCAGAGTTAGATATTAACACCGATGGATGCCGGTCCAGTGGTCCGATGGTTAGGCGCTCACGCACAATACCGAAGGTCCCGGATTCGAATCCGGAGAGGAGTAGGAGTCGTGGATGCGCACTGCCACTGATGAGTAGGACGGAACGGCCGTCTTTCGGTGCTTCCAGCTTTCTAATGGTGATCTAACAATGATTGATTGATGATTTCAAATGTGTAAAAATTCGATAAGAATTGGAAACAGTTTTATGATAATCAATTTACAATGAAAATTAATGCAAGGTTAGTGACATCATCAGTCAATGGATCCATCAAATAGCTGGAAGCATTAAAAGATAACCAGTTCGTCTTGGTATAGGACTGACTATTCATCAGCAGTTGATAGGCTTTCTGTTCATGTGTCAATTACACACTTTGGAATAATGATCAACTTGTTGGTTTCACATTCATCATTGAACTGGTGTGTGTGTGTGTGTGTGCATGCGTGTCTGTCCGTACACGAATTATGCAAATTTCAAACTTGACCTTCATATTTATTTATTAAAATAACAATAGTTGAATAGGACACAGTTTGATCTTCATGGAACAGATCAATTAAGAAGGAGATGTTGATGAATGTTTTTATGTTCAGAAATGATTCTAATTTAACTAATTTCACGTAAAAAAAAAATAGTTTCTATTTGTTGATTAGACGACATTAATTAAGTAAATTATTGAATTGACAAAATTTATGCAAAAATAAAACACAATAGAATATTATACACTTGAAAGAATCAAATCAAAATTCATTGTCTATTCACTATATTGTCTTATTCACTTCCTTTTTCCACAGGAATTTTTAATAACAATTAATTTCTAGTCTCTATGATACTTGATGTAGTACAACAACAGCAATACAACAATATACTTGTGTAAGTGTGTGTGCATGTGTGTGGATGTGTATCTAAGACGTATGTACACAAACATCGTTACAAAGTGTCTTATTGTATTTTCTATTCACGCGCACGCACACACGCACACACACGCATACATCATATATCACATTATGATTGAGTAGGATATCCGTTAGAAAGAATTTTGTATACATTGACACAATTCATCATGTGTAATTGAAAATATGCAAATCAGTGATGACGACGACGACGATGATGATGAACCGTAATCTCGTAGTGTGGTGGTGGTGGTCAACAGCTTAGCAACCAATCACCATCTCAATATAATGCATTTTCTCATTGTCTAATTAATAACAATTTATACAATTGTTTTTATGAAATCTGAATTTAATGAATCCATACTACTATGATTACTGCTACTACTACTACTATTAACCATTGTTACACATTGAATCTTATGCCACAAATAAACAATAAAAATCAAGTTGAATTTCAATTCAAATGTTTTTCGTCTACGTGAAAATTCACTGTGTCATAAGGCATCAATCTGAATAGAATATGTTTGGGATTTTTCTTTATGATTGAGATATATGTAACCGAGTAAATTTAATCTGCAGAAGAATCATGAAATCAAACCAAATGTGATTGAAGCAAGAAATAACATTATCAGCAGTACTGGATAACTGTTTCGCCCTAGTATACAAGACTTATCAACAGAGTACATCTGTGACTCCACACAAAGGCGATCAAACCTAGGATCTTTTGCCTGGTGAGTGAACACTTACACTTTAGACTATTGAATCAACATGCAACAATGTTGATGTCTTAAATTCAATCAAATCATGATAGCTCGCAACTCAGTTCATCTTTTTTGTTTAGAGAGTGGGTAACTGTAACATACCCAACACCTCTCAATTATATCATCACAAGAAACTACTACTATTATTGTAAAAAGTGATAAGAGATAAGAAAGAAAGAGAGAGTGAGTGAGTGGCTGACAACGAGATAAAAAATTCATTGAAATGATCATTCAAAAAAAAAAAAAAAAGAGAAATGAAAAAAAACAAAACAAACTTACCAGCAACTTGTAAAAATAATGGTAATAATTGTTCAGTAAACAATGGTGTTGGTAAACGCATCAAGACTGATTTTAATGCACTAGCAAAATCATGAAAATTATATTTATTCAATTGAAATAATTTTGGATCAAATGACAATTGGAATACAGCATCTTGTATTTGACGTTTACGTAACATATGTCCTGCTTTACGAAATAATCCTTCAATACAACAAGCTAAAATATTTATAGAAAATAAGAAGCAAAGCAATTATTTTTATTTTTTTTTAAAAAAAAGGCGAAAAGTGAATTGAAATCAGTGTCGATGAAATCACACTAGAAAAAGAAAATAGGATTCCACATTGTCCATTGAAGAAAGAGAGTTTGACTGTTTTGTGAGATGAAAGTTGACAATCTCCAGTAAGGTCGATGCCAGAAGTGTTTGTATAATGTGGAAGATGGCAAAGGCCACTTGCACATGCGAGAAGGTGCAATATGACGGTATGTCGAATAACCATACGAACAGAACACGCTAAATTCAAGAGAGTTGCTGTTTTATTTTGACGATGAGCAAGAAATTACCCACACTCACACACACACACACACACACACACAACGAGTCCCATTGATAATCTTCGAAGAGACAGTAAAAAGAAGACTTATAGACAAGGCATCTCAAAAACCTTCCTGTAAACGGAAGGAATGAAGTATTACGATGAATATCTTCCGAGATACCACGCATTCATCGATCAAGTCAGTAGACTAAATTATTTATATTTTACTTGATTCATTTAGTGAATATTTCATGTACCATGATCAGTAATATAATTCAGCTTAGCAAACAACAATTAATCCAATGGCAGACAACCTACTTTCAAAATACTACTCACAAACTGAACCAATAAAAAGCAGCAATTACCTTCATCATTATCCAAACAATCAATCAAACTGATAATATTCTTCGCCAATCTCTCCGGAATACAATCTGATTTTACTGAATCTAAAAAAAAAATTAGTTTTAGAAATGAAACACAAAAAAACAATAGAAATGACAAATTTCTTGTTAATTATAATAAAATCATGTGAACAATTGTAAACATTTTCACAAACAACAGAATTACAACACGCAAACTGATATTGAGGTCAAACAGGTTAGTTAGTCACTAATACATTTCATTATCATACACATTATAATGTGTATGGAATCCATATAAAAATATCAATTGAATATTGTCATTATTTATATTGTGAAGAAAAACACAATCCTGTAAACAAATGCATGCAACAACAACAATAGAGCACAATAAATTGAATCATCATCTATTTGGATATGCAATGAATTCATTCAACACATCATCTCATTGAAGTGGCTCTTGTTTTTTTGGATGTGTCATGTGATATTTCCATTACGATCGTGACTAACTAACTGACTGATTGACCTTCAGACAAGGAGACATACAGAGAGGGACAGAGATACACACACAAAAGTACACAATGCACTTTTGCATGTATGTTGGCCGATTTAGGGAGAAATACTCTCAGTTGCTCTTACTTAGATAATTATTTATGACATTCAGAGTCAAGTGTGCACTTTATGATTTACGATTGAATGATGACATCTGGTATTTTCTATCGTTTGTTGCATTTAAACAACAAAACTTTGTCATATCGCACACACATACAAACACACACTGTATGTATATGTGAGTAGAGTTTTTTAAAAAAAATTCACAAAATGTGCAACAATACGAGAAGTAATGTTTTATTTTTTTAGAAAAAAAAAATTGAACACACCTGTGTGAGATGAAATTGAAAATGAATTTAGTAAAAAAAAATTGATTAGTTAATGGAATTAACTAACACTCAATGACTGGTTTATTGCGTATAAGTTTAAAATAAAATAGTGAAGATGAGGCACAGATGAAAAAAAAATACCAGGTGTTGTATGATTAACAAAAAAAAACAAGAGAAAATATTTTAAAAAAAAGTGGAGATTTTTAATTTCTCCCAGATGGAACTAATTACAGAACACATTGAATAACAAAGCAATAAACAACTTTATCAGATTCTATTTTAGGCTAATTTATGTTGTTAACATTCAACTGCCACCATTCTCACACCCCCACTCTGCCCCAAAAAAAGAACATTATTATCGCACAGAGTGCCCATACACCTGATCAATATAACATTAATCACATTGTATCGATTGATTTGTTTTAGATTGTGTGCTCTGTTGAATGTTGTATTAAATATCAATACAAATTTCTAAGATGAACTTTTGAATTTTAAAACAAACACAACAGAAACTCATTGAATGATTGAAAATAATCATGATAAAAATATTTTCAACAAGATTATTTACTAAATGTGATTTTATATTTTTGATGCAGTCATCTATGTAGCCAAGTACACCATGACATTGTCACAAATGCATTGCCAACATCATCAAAACTTAATCAGAATGAAACTGAATGAAAATTTGAAATGATATTGCGTCATGTAAGATGAAAATATTTCAAATGCTGACGACATATGTATATAGATAGATAGAATAATTTATAAATGTTACGTCAATGTGATTAACATTTTAAAGAAAAAACCATGTTGCATCATTGAAGAGAGTAATTAATGTTTGAAAATGATGCAATGAGATGTAAACACCAAAATAATCTATCATCTATAGGAATAACAGCAAACAAAAGTTACTGTTGAATGAAATTAACGCGGGTAGACAACGACAGTACAAAAAAATTCACAAATACGATTTATCAAAAATGGTATCAAGATTTTGATCAAGGAAAGAAATGAACGTGTGAAGCAGCTGTAAATTCAGGTCATGTATGAACTCAGCTGTGCGCAAATTCCTCGTGCAAATCTTCGGAGGGGGGAGGAGAAGTCTAATTATTTTAACCTACTAAAGAATAATGAACGATAGCTAAGGTGGTGGGATGTGATCCGTAGGGATCATGTGTCTCTGGAAATTGAGCTGTTGATCAGTTTGTATTCATACTTGAATGACCGCACAGGGTTAGGGTTTAGATATTCATTTACTAAGTGCAAACTGCATACAGTTAAAAAACAAACCTGAGTCGTAAGTGTAAATAAACTGATATACATAAACGTAGTTGACTTGGAGAAAATTTACTCTTAACAGTAATTTTAACTAGATTCTTTATTTATTTAAAGATTACTATGAAAAAAAATGAAATTTAATTGAGAAATAATTTTCCAATAAGTATACATCATTCATTTACATTCTGTTCATTACTGACTATTCTCAGTACATAGTAATTTAGCTTTCATTGATTTAGTTAGAATGAATTAAATTTAGGCCAACAATGAAAACCTGAATGAATTGGGTGGCTGTTTCATTCTAGTATGAGCTTTATCAGAAGTGCATATTGATGAGGAATCAAGGTCAGAACCTTCAAATCATTGATCCAGAATTATTGCGCGGCCACCAATCTACTACAATCACCTCTTACTGGTCGATACAGTGAATCAAAATGATACAACTGTTCAAAGTTCACAATTATATTGATGTTATTTTCAATTTTACTTCTAAAACAGTCAAGTCAACTGATCGATTGTATCGATTCACAATGGGCTCTTTTTTGCATGAGTTGTGTTTGAAGTGTTACACCCATTTATTTTAAAATCTTAGTATCAATAATGATTGCATCATTAGAATCAATTGACTTACTACTATTATTGTTATTATTATTATTGTTATTGTTATTATGTAATGAATATTTCCTAATTTTTTTCCTGTCTCACATTGATTAGTTGTGTTGTGTATTGAATGAAATAAATTCCATTGCGTAATTTATGTGATTTGTCAGTTTGGCAAAAATACAAATGACATCATCTCATTGAGTTAGCTAATGATTTCATTCATCAATCAGAATAAATAATCAAGCTTAAACACAGGAAATCATTTTCGTCTACCCTGCCCCCCCCCCCCCGGTGTTCCCCATAAATAATGATAATAATAATAACAATATCAAGAGGAATATCATTTCATTGAATGTTGATTGATTGATAATATTAAGAAAAACAATCATTGAATTGTAAGAATAATTCAAGTGTTAAAAAATTCTATTTCTGTTAAATCACAAATTAGAACAAGTTAATTAATCGATAGATAATAGTTGACCACGTACAATTCGGCAATGAAATTAAAATGTGTGAAAATATCAAGAAAAAAAATGATTGAGTGTTCACTGTCACTGTTTCATTCAGAAGGAGACAATCAAACCAAAAAATTCATTTGAAAATAAATCAATGTCAACTTGTCAAATGGACCACCCAGTTCAGTTCCATCCATTGTATTCATTCATCGGTTTACAGTTCTGTTTTATTTTATTGAATCAATATTACTTAATTATTTCACAATAATAATAAATCTAGTCATATAAAGTTTATGAAAAATAATTCGAAATGTCGATTTATGCATGTTTGTGTGATAACGAAAGCGTACAGTTCGATTCTTGAGAATAACACTACAACAGTTGAATATGTTCAAGTCGTCATCATACTAAGGATAGAACAGTTGTTCTGTTTCAGTGTTTTCACGCTTCCAATTCATGATTACACTCAACTGAACAATTTTCACAATTCTTTCATGAAAATTTCAGCTTGGTGTTTATGCAGTGCAGTGCAAAGCAACAACAACCTTGGATGTGGTTCGGTTGTGAAGCTTTCATTGTTCTTTGTCTGAACAATAACATCATCAGCGCATAAACTTCAGATAGAAGTTAATCAAACAATCATTCATCTGAGCTAAACAAAAATTTTTCTCTATCATCTCAAGTAAATTCAGTGTATGGTAAAAATGAAATTTACGACAGGAATTTGCATTGTACCCTTGATGTGTTTTGGTGTACTTTTATCATTTAAAAACAAAACAAAACAGAGACATCCAGGTATCTGGTGTTTCTGTTTCCCTGTGCTTCTTCTACTCTCCCCTCACCTCCCCTCCCCTCAGCTTATTCAGATGACATTCATTGATAAACTAGAATGCAACTACAATATAAGTACAATATACCTTTGTTTGAATATATATATGTAAATATATCGATATGTAGATGCGTTTTCTTACCAATTTTTTTAAAAAAAATGTCTGGAATTTGTCTAATGTTTGTTTGTAGTACATGATAAATTTCTTTAATCTTAATGTTTTATTGGTTTACTTTTTTTTTATATAGTTTATCATGTAGTTGTCATGTTATTTTATGCAAATTTATAAGGAATAAGTAGAATAGAAACCCATTTAATAATTGCTGTATTTCATTTTGTTTTTTCTGTTTTAGTGTGTTTCCATTAACAAAAAATAAAATGCATTAAAACTTCTTAAACTTGTAAAGTGTCATTACAAAAGGTATAAATAAGAATAAATCAATAATAATAGTAACTTGACAACACTTGAGACAATAGAAACAACCTACTACTTTAAGTAGCAATGTTGGTGTGTGTGCGGGTGTGTGGGTGGTTGTGTGCAAATGCAATTACAATTTATCTGTCTATTGACTATTGCCGGATAAACAAAGCATCTTTGTGTTTGAACACTTTCAGCAACACAAATAAACAATGCACACACCCATACCACAACCACGACTCCAGGGTACGCACACACACACACAAACACAATGCGAAACAGATAAACGTAAAGAGAAAAGAGAATAGATAAGTTAAATGAAATGAAAAAAAAGAAAAACATAACCAAACAGCTCTAATAATCTTGGTTTAGTTTATTTCAGCAACTACAACTTCTGAGACAATTATCACTGAGACGAAACAGAAACAGAAAAGAAACAAGGGAAAAATACACACACACACAGACACACACGGAGAGAGAATGTCGATAAAGATTTCGAATAGAAAATATAAAAAACCTTGAGCACAGCATGATTGAAAAACTGTGTTATATATAGTGAAATAATAGTGATTTTTTTCCAATCAAATTTTAACATCTTAACCTCAAAACTGATAACACAAATATAAATTCAAATTAATTTTGCCATTCAAGTGAATTAGTCAAAGCAGGACAGGAAAAGAAAAACACACCATCAAAATAAATAAAAAGAAATGTTTTCTTATCATGAAACGATGATGATGATGGTTGTGCTTAAAAGAAACAATGAACCACAGACATTCCATTGTAAGTATGGGACTATCAGTCCGTCAGTGATAAGAAAAATCTAATTTAAACTAATAATTCTTCTCTGTTAAAAATAGAATAGTTGAATAGATTTATATGATAGAAAAAGAACAGTTCCTATTGCACCTTAAATCATTTGGTTGGGGCTCAAAATTAACTTCATATATAGCCATGTGTATTTTGATAAGTCAATAACAGAAAACGCCTGCTTACTAATCTTCTCATGGTGATCAAGGAAATTAAAAGGTTGAAAAGCCAATGTCCGGTTACTGGGTGGAGAAAATTGATTTAGAGGTGAGTTGGCGAATCCCAACTTCAAACAACTGATACATACAGCCGACAGGATCTTGAATGGGCTAACAAGAGAGGAATGAAATTAATGTTGGTCATTGCCTACCATGGAACCCTAACCACATCAAACATTGTTTTACTGCCTTATGGCGAGATTAGACCAACGAACATGTGAGAGGTCGAATGAGTGGCTTCGTCAGAATATCGCCTGCGTCAGTTTGGACCAGCAGGCAGTAGTAGTATCTCTCTCATCATAATAAAGTAAATAAGACTAGTAGAAATTTTCTTACTGTTCAGTTATCAATGTATTAAATAGTTGATATTCTTTTTTCATTAATTCAATATTTAAAAATGTCACTTACGAGAATTTGAACGCCAATTATTCCATAATCGTTTAAGTTTTGATTTGGTAACTCCATTAGTATGTGTACAATGTCGTAAACTCATTGATTTCACATCTTTCACCATATGATTATGTACAGGTATTGTAGGATTAGACAATGCATGTCTATGATGATGATGATGATGATCAACATCATTGTGATCGTCATTGTGATTGTGATTGTGATGAGTAGATGAACTAATTTTTTGATCAATAAAATTCCATGGAACATCTATTAGAAATGATAAATGTATCATACAGAATTCTTGAAATCGACATGGATAATATTCACGAAATAATTGAATTTTCCAATCATCATCTACAGCAATTCTTAAACGATTAGCATAATCTTTAATAGTTAATTGTAATGTTTTACTAGTGGCCTTTGTGATTTGATTACTTCCCATTTTTGTAAATAATAATACAAGTTTAATTTTTTATTCAACTAAAAATAAATGCAATCAGTATGTGAGAATAGTTGATCAAGTATTTAATCATCTCTATTGATTGTTATAATATATATATATAAATAGAGGATGTTGATAAAGGGTGAGGTATGTACATTTTTATTCACTTTCAAGTATAATAAAAAAAAACAGGGTGGTGAATTGGGATTTCCCTTTTACCTCTTATTGATCGTATGAAGACGAAATAAACCTAGTGCATTCTGATTGGCTAAATGAAATCTGACTTGTGATTGGCTATCATGTGTCATAGGGGTGTGGGAGTAATGAACATGTGGAATCTAAAAAAAAAACAATTACCATGAAATTCTATTATGTTTCAATGATAAATATTGCCATTACAATATAGGGGAAAATGAAAATACGCGAAGATCATTTATCAAACTGCTTCATATTTAGTGAGCTAGTATTAGGATATCACAAATTTTTGAGGTCATCATTACCCTTGTTACTATAAATGGAGTACAGGCCTCCGGCCAGCATTCTTGGGCCCTTCGTTCTACCCAACTGATATTCATTCTTCCGAAATCTCTCTCCGATCGCCTGAGCAATATGTTCTTCTCTTCCTGTTGTCTTTTTAGTTTCCGAATTCCAAGTTAAGGTTTTCCTTGAGATATTATTGAATGATTTCCGTAACATATTACCATCCTGTCCACATTCAGAGTATTTTCATATTTTTGTTCCTCAACTGCAAACTTGTTTATTCTTTCCCACAGTAGGTTGTTGCGAATGGTATCTAGTCAGCGGATATAAAGTATCTTGTGTAGACAACTGTTTTTCAATATCTACAGCTTTCGATTGATGATTTCGCTAGTTCCCTGATCTGTTAAAACGCTACTACGAGTTCCCCTTACTCGGTAAACGCTAACTAGAGCAGGAAGTCTTGATAAGGAGTAGAGAATGTATACTACAGGCACCCAGAAAAGTTGGGATTCACAGATACACAACTCAGGCTTATTTACATAAGGATAAAACCCCCTTGAGAGAGCCACCAAGTATAGTACTACAAAATCCATCGACCAATGAAAGCCAAGGATTTTCAAGGTGGAAAATGTAAACGAAAAGTCAGCTAAGCGTCTTTGGCGCGAAAATACAATTGAAAATTTCGCAATATAACTGCAAAATTAGGGCCTTTTCCGAGTGAGTTCACGGGATCTAAGTCCCCAAAACACCTCCCCTTTTTAATAGGGCACGTTCCTGGGGTCGACTTGCATCTTGATTGTTGTTCACTGCTATCGAAGAGACCAACTTCTAGAACGTAGATCGGCTTGTTGTTGAGCTTTTTCTCGTGGTGGGGCTGCCGGTAAGTTGAAGGTATCTAGCAGGATGTCAAAGATAAGATTTACTCCCGTTGATGCGAGAATCAGAGTCAGCCGTTTGCGTATCTGATTTCGATGGCATGATCAAATATCGCCTCCTACCTCTAATTCCTACATGACACGGCCCATACATCTGACCACTCGCCCTTCTGTCCAAGGACGATGGATCGGTCTGTTAGTCATGGGCGAATACAGGACATCCCACTTCATGCGTCGATTGCTTTTCAGACTTTGTCTGTACTGATGTTAATGCATTACTCGGATGCATCAGGCTGTTGATTGTTTTCAGTCTTCTTCCCATATGGACTTATGTTGGGGACTTTTGCCCCGGTAACAACTCATTTAGTGTTGTTCGATAACGTACACGAAATTTTGTAAAATGTCAGTTGGTGTCCCTTCCTCTTTTAAAAGCATTCATAAACCTTTCCGCTTGCCCATCCGATTGCGGGCGGTAAGTGGCGACCGTAAGTGCCGGATGGCTAGCCGTTGACAGATAATTTGGAATTGGCTAGTGGTGAATTGCGACCCATTTTCAGATACAATCACATCCGGCATGCCATTTCGGGTGAAAATTTCTGTGAGGAGCTGTATTGTTTTAGCTGTCGTTGGCGGCATTACAAGGCTGATTTCTGGACATTTTGAAAGGACATCGACTACAACTAGATACATAATTCCATTAATCAGGCCTGCGAAGTCGACATGTATCCTGGACCAAGGATTATCAAGTTGTGGCCGTGAAACTTTTGGTCATTCACATTTAGCACTTGCTGACACTGCATGCATTTTTCAACCAACTCGGTCATATGTTGATCCATTAGGGGCCAGTATACGTAACTCCTGGCTATGGATTTCATACGTCTAACTCCCGGATGAACAAAGTGGAACATTTTCAACACTTTTGCAAGAAAGGATTCTGGCACAACCACTCCTTCTCTAAACAGTCGCTTACAATGCATCTTGATGATGGGGTCATTTATAGAAGAATTTTGTATGTCTGTTGCACATAAATCAAGCTTATTTATACACTGATAGAGACGCCCTTGTGAGAGCTACCAAATAGACTACTAAAATAATTCATTTAACCAATGAAAGTCAAGGATTTCCGAGTGTGAAGTGTAAGCTGTAGGTCAATTGGCGTGAAAACATAAAAATTAAAAATTTCGGAATAAAATTACAAAATCAGGACCTCTCCCAAGTGAGTTTAGGGGATCTAACACCCCCAACATTCATGAAGTTTCATCTCCATGCAATAGAATTGTCTTGATGTTTGCATTAGAAATCCTAACTTCGGCAACGGTTGACAATGGTCTTGAGTTGCAGGTGTTCTTCAGTAGAAGAAATGTTGCCTTTGTTTGCTAAACCATATCTTCACGTCTGTATCTCGTTTGTCAGTGATGCTGATCACGTATTGAGAAGCTTCCTCATCTTCCAAAGCTTCTCCATCAAGTGTGATTTACCTGTTGAATGTTGTGTTATGACGGAAGATGTTGCTTTTACCCTAGTGTATGTTGACACCTGCTGCTGCAAAGGCTGTTGCTAGACTGGTTGTTTTCATTTACATTTCTTGTTGTGTGTGGGATGGAATATCCAGATCATTTGCGAAGACTTGATCGTCCAGCTGTTTCCTGGTTGTGCACTATATTCTGTGCTTACCCTCACATGTTGACGTCACCACAAAGCAGTCGACCACCAGGAGGAAAATGAAGGGTGAAAATAAGCAACAATGTCCGAATATATCTGTGAGCTGCCTGCAAACACGATCGTACAGTTGAGTTTATCATTAGTATTCCGTATGATGTTGACTATCTTTTCAGGCATACCACAGTGCTAAAGAAGCCTCAATTATGTCGTACTGTCCATACTGTTAAATGCTTTCGTATGGTCAATGAAGTTAATGAATCGTGGTGTGAATTGCATTCAATTGATTGTTCCAGGATGGTCAATAGTGTTGTGCTCTGTTCAGGTCATGACCGATTCTTACAGAATTCAACCTGCCAGTTTCAAAGTTGGGCGACTAGTAAATCTTTCATATGTTGTAAAAACACTCCATTGAAGACTTTTCCTGTTATTGATAGTAAATTGATTCTTCTGTAGTTCTCATGCTTGTTGATGAACAAAGGAAGGAACATCTTCACCGATACTGTTATACCGCTGCTATGGATTTGTTGAATGCTAATGTTGACAAGTCAACATAGATTGTTACGAGGTTGCTACGTGAATGCTACTTCGATGTGTGCATGGTATCAATGAGGTTGGTTAGGATTAATTCAATAGTTATTCAAAGCTGTTCTATTCATGTTTTTCATTGTTCTTGTAAAATATTAGCGATTATTTTGTTTACTTTAGTCCGTTTTTGTTTTTTTAGATCAGAATGTTACTACTAAGAATAACAGTACAATTATTGATTAAGAAATTCTTTATTCAACATTCACAACTTGAACTATAAATTAAAAAAACACACACACACACATATAAAAGATCACATCTACACTTCCATACTTGATCAATTCAAGAGTGAAACAATTTGAAGTAGTTGAAATGGTTTTTTCTCTCTAAATTGTCATGATAAATTTGCATATTTTTTTGTTGTATCTTAGTTAAGAAAAAAGGAGATAAAACCTTCTAATGGTTTCTGAGTATCTGGGTAAAACTCTGTACATCTCATTTTATGCATGTGTAAATGAAATGTTTGAGTGTTTTATCCGAGCACCCGTCTCCTTATTATGATGAGTTAAATGTATACCTACCTTACTTATATTCTCGTTTTATTTTATGTGTGTACATACATTGTCAGTTTATTGTTTTTCATTTAACTTCTTGTTGTCTAGAAATTAAAGAAACAATACAGTCGCTGTGTTATTTTGATTATGTTTGAGTATATACAGTATACATGTTCATTTGCTTTATACTAGACAATGTCACATAGTAACTGTAATTAGTTTATGACAATTTATTATTGTCTTATTCATTTATGTTGATAGATTTATAATGTTCGTCGAAATATTCGAGAAATAAATAAGAAAACACTAATTTTTACTATGCCGAAAACACTCTGATGATCCAAAACAACTGTCCTACAAATAAACTTTAATCTTAGTGACCATGTTTCACAGCCGAAAAAATAGAATGGAATGAACTACTGTGCAGTAAACCTGTTTTTCAGTTGGTAGATAGATATCTCACCTATGACATGAGTGATGCAAGTTCACCAAAGCTTCTTGATCAGGTCATCAGCATTGATACGATTCTTATACCAAGAGGAAAGGACAGTCTTCTAATGTTTCTAGTTTTCTAATACTGCTGGTCTTAACCAATGACTCATTCATGATTTCATGCAATCATGAAATGAAAGCTATACACTTTGCATTGAATTGAATTATGTGTAGATTAAGTTGAGAAAAAAAAAAAACTTTTTCAATACAATAGAATTCAGTATTTTTTTTTGTTATCAGTCTGATTGTATTTAAATGTGTGGATGTTTCTTTTTTTTTTGAAACTACAACCTGGAAGCACCAAAAGACGGTCGTTTCGTCTTGGTATGGGACTCATCCAGGTTTTATCTAATGGTGGTCTAACAATGATTGATTAATGATTTCAAATGTGTGAAAAAACACAAAACCTCCA